CACGTGTGTCAAATCGTCCTTTTCCTCTGGTTCTCCTGCCATGGCCTGCAGCTCAGTTCCATCAGACATTTAATGACTTCTTTAATACTAATTGCTATTCTAAATGCTGCAGATAAAGAATGAATAAGGCATACTCCCTGAGGCCCAGGAACTCACTTTCTAGTCAAGAGGAATAACAGATCATTTCATGTATACAACAGGGTAAATGCTAAAACAGAGTTATGGATAGGGGACTACGGGAAATCAGAGAAAGAATGCTTTACCTAAACTAGCCATTTGGAGAAGTGGAGAATTTTGAACTGAGAAAGGATGACATGGAGTGAGCAGAGCAAACTAAAATGGAACACATTATATACAGGGAGGGAGAACTGCCTTAGCAAAAGTGTGAATGATGATAGCGAGAAGGAAATATTGAAGACTGAGGCTAGAGGGAGGGGTTAAGTGGGAGCCAAATCATGTAACATGGACTTACTTAAGGAGCTTAGACTTAACCTTACAGGGCAGTAGTTTCAAACTGGGCTAAACAAAGCTCCTCAGGGTTCACTGAGTGGGCGGGGGCATGGAAGGCCAGCTGGGCTTCACAGCTTTGGTTCTGACACCTACTTCAAGGGGAACAGCTCAGCTAACCTTTATCCCATCATTTGCATAATAGTTCCCTGACCTAAAGGTGTTGGGTGTTTATCAAAATCACACACATAACGGGGTTGGAGAGGGTATCATTAGCTTGGAAAGCATGAGTGCTGAACAGTTTAAGCCAACTGCTCTGCAGACGAATCACAAGATAAGACATTCAGTTATTATTTCCACATAGCTTTCTATGATCTTTCACATCCAATCAGTACCTTGCGCAAAAATTAGGTGACAGGAATCTTCTGTGATCACTTGCTTTCCACCAAGTTCAAAACACCTTCTGTGGGCTTGTTACCACAATTTAAGATCTATTGTACCAAGAAAAACACTGTATTTGCTCCCTTTCCTTAACTCAGCTGTGGGAGAAAAGAATTAAGCACTTATTGTTCAGCTCTGAAGGCAGATGTCAGTTTATTTGGGAGGCAGCAGGCAGAGGAGGAAAGACTTCTTGTCTTCTTTCCCCCCAGTTAGAGGTCTCAAAGTCCAAGCATTGTGTAAGGCTTCTGTAACTGGCAGGAGATACGGCTCCTCTTGGGTGGAAGCCTGGCTCCTCTGAGAATCATCAGAGTTCTGCTCCAGGGGGAGCTGGAGTAAGAACGGCAACTCACCGAGGGCTTAATATGTTCTGGGTACCATAACTGCATTAACTTATTTAACCATTACAACGAAGCTAAGAGATAGGTACTGTGTGATCCTCATTTTAAGTATAAGGAAATTCAGGTATAGAAGCTAAGTAACTTGTTCCAGATACCTAGGTGGTAAATGGCAGGGCCAGAATTCAAATTCAGACAGCCTGGCTCCCGTATTTGATCTCACAATCACTGAGCTAAAGCGTCTCCTTAAAAGTGGGTCTTACACAGAGTCCTTCAATGCAAAGGATGTAAAAGGCCAACCCCAGCAAGCCTAGCCTGGGACCAGGGCTTAGTCTTTTTAAAGTCAATTTATCTCATCTCTACCATTTGAAAAGAAAGCCTGTACAGTAAGTCCCCTACATACGAACTTTCGAGTTGCAAACTTTCAAAGATGCAAACGTGCATTTGCATGTCCAGTCACGTAAGTTAGTTCACATGCCTGGCATACATTGTCACGCACGTGCATCCTCTGCAAGTGGTTGTGTTTTTGTGTACTTTACTGTACCGTACTGTATACAGTAGTGCAGTATCTTTATTTCAAGCCCAGGATGTCCGGAAGCAAGTGTAAAAGCAGTGGTGATGTAGCTGGTACTAAGAAGCGCCAGGAATTGGAGGCCCAGAGAAAGGACGAAGAGAGACAAGAGGAAGAAGGAACTGAAGAGCCAAAGAGACTCACGACGCAAGAAATGGCAAGGGGATTTTCTTTATTTGAGGAGGCACTGTTAGTTTTTGAGGCACAGGACTCAAATGTAGCACGGTACACGAAGTTTGCAGCAGCTGTTCAAAATGCACCCAGTGCTACCGTGTCATCTATGATGAGAGAAAAAGAGCTACTACCCAGACATTATTAGATCGTTTTTTCAAGAGGGTAAATAGAATTGAATCCAGCAAGGAACCAGAAACTGTGCCATCAACGTCAGGTGTGAGTGAAATTGCAGCTTACCCTCCGTCTCCTATTGCTGACGATCCTTCAGCTCTACCATCTCCCACCTCCGCTCCCTCCTCCAGTCAGTAACTCTCTTGCCTGTTCATTTGATGCCAGCCCCTATATTCCAGCTGTTGTACTGTACTACTGTACCTTTCAAGGTACTGTACTGTAAGATCAAAAAATGTTTTCATTACTTTTTGTTTGTTTTTTATGTGTTATTTGTGTGAAAAGTATTATAAACCTATTACAGTACTATATAGCCGATTGTGTTAGTTGGGTCCCTAGGCTAACTCTGTTGGACTTACGAACAAATTGGACTTACGAACACACTCTTGGAATGGAACTCGTTCGTGTGTAGGGAACTTACTGTACTTTGATGGTCCAGTTCCCCCAAGGTTGCTACAAAAGAAGTTGAGGCTGTGTCCTTATCAACTCGTTTACTAACCACGGGTCAATTCTAATTGGGTCAACTATTTTATTTTGCTCAGGGAGGACACTATAAGTAGAAATTCTTGGGTCTTTTAACCACTAAGGAACCCCACATCTTTAATACATTTTTTCAAATGTACATTCTAAACCAAACAACCTCAGTGTGTAAACTTACACATTCAACATGACTCTTGCTTCCCCTTTTCTAAGGGAAATCTTTAATTAGGATTTAGAATTATTCTCCACACAAATAATTTTTTTTAAGTTTATAATACACAGCTATAGGCGTTAGGGAGCCACTGAACGGGAAATTTGCTTTTTAGATTGTTCTAGCTTCAGCATGGAAGGTAAATTTAAGGGGTGCATGACTGAAGGCTCGATGATGAAAAGGCCATTATAACAGACAAGGTGAAAGATTAAAAGAAGATGAACGCAGGCAGTGGTAATAAGCATGGAGAGGAGAGGGCAGATTTTTCAAAATTTAGTAAGTAAAGAGGTAAAACTTGGTAATTATGTTGGTTATTCTCCATTTGCCCTACAGCACCATTTTCTACCTTTCTTTGCCCACCTCTGTGCCCTGGAGGGTGGTTGACTCTCTGGACTGTATCATCCAAAATCCCTTACTGGCTGGCTTTGGATTGGGTTCTGCTAGTAGGAGGCATTAGTAAGAGACTGGTGGGCAGGGGGAGAAAAAGGTCAGGGAATTCTCTCCTCTGCTTACGGCTATAGTTCCATCTAGGTGGTCCCTCTTCCATAACTACAACTTTCTGGTTCTGGTAATACAGTCCTCTCCTGCTTCTTCAGGTCTGTGGGTACCTCTCAAATCTTGCTGACTCCCTTAACTTCCCTGACCTCTGTAAAGAGTCCTTTGGCTAAACTCTCTTTAATTAATAAGCCCTCTGAGTCTTTTTCCTTCTGGGACCTGGACTAGCAGTGATTGATGGGGAATGGGGAGAGGAGTACAAAGAGTTGAGGTGATTCCCGGGTTTAGATTCTTTCCTCTCAAATGGATTTTTAGCGTTTTCCTGAGTGTCTTGTTAGGACATGCTCTATTCAGATTACTTGGAATCCATCCCTGGCACCACCACTTTGGTTGGCATTTCCAGCAGGAGATTCAGGCAGGTTCTCCAGAACCAAGCATGGTGCCTGGTGTAGAACGGCACTCCATACATGGATTTTCTCTCTCAGTGTCTCTGAACTTTACTGTCACATTATTATAGGCCCCCATACACTCAGAGTTTGAACTCAGCATTGGTCTGGCCATTCATTGTTAGTTTTATATCTAACTTTGAGTTCTAGATTTTGAACTGTACATGGGACAGTTAGAAAGGGCTATGTAAAACAACAACAACAAAATTCCCAATTATAGTAAAAGCTTTGAAAACATTGAAGAAACTGGGATTATTTAGCAGTGAGAATGCATTAGTGCACATTTTAATACCCAAGCAGTTGGCCTATGGCTGTAGTGTTCTGTTGATTAAATTATAGAATTTTCTCTCCAACAAGTAATTCAGTATGATGAACAATCTATTCTTCATCATATAACAATCACTTCAACTCACAAGAATTTAGTTTTAGTTGAGAGACTCTTCATAATGCTTGTATAAGTCATTAATTGTATCTCTACTCCCTACATTGCCTTTATGCCTATACTGCATACCCTAAATACTTCAAATACCCTAACAACCCCTATAGAAAACTGCCCCAAACCCGGCACCCCTCGCATGCACATTAGACTCACCAGGGAGCTCTTTAAAAATACTCATTCCCAGACTCCACCCCATGCCAATTAAATCAGCAATTTGGAAATGAGGCCCAGTTGAGGATATTGTTTTAAAGCTCCCCAGGGCATCCCTGGTGGCGCAGTGGTGGCGAGTCCGCCTGCCGATGCAGGCGACGCGGGTTCGTAATCCCTGTCCGGTCCGGGAGGATTCCACATGCCGCGGAGCGGCTGGGCCCGCGAGCCATGGCCGCTGAGCCTGCGTGTCCGGAGCCTGTGCTCCGCAACGGGAGAGGCCACAACAGTGAGAGGCCCGTGTACCGCAAAAAAAAAAAAACAAAAAAAACAAAAAAAAAACCTCCCCAAATGATCCTAAAATGAACAAAGTTGAGAACAACACTCCAAACCATAAAATAAAACCACCAAGATCACACAAAAAGATATGACTCTCCACAGAATGTATAAACCCAAGATACCTTGTGTCTGTTTATCCCTTGTTAATGAACTTCCTGTGAGCCTTTTCCCCCCATTAACCTTCAGTTTTTGCACACTGGAAAGCTGATTGAGAGCCCCTCCGTTGGTTTTGCTTCCTTGTTTGACGTGTGTGGTTTGTTGACAAGCTGCCCAGAACATGGTGAAAGACAACCACAATTAAACCTACCTCTGAGTCAGCAGTGGTTTTCTCCATCAGTGAGGTTTTTCTTAGGACCCTAAAAGAGGGTGAAAAAAGAGCATATAAATAAATGAAGGAATCAAATAGACTCTCAACAGTCGTTAAAGGTAACAGTTTGGGTTGGGGAGGGGGAAGGCTATTGTGAACAAAAGAACGATGCTTTCAATATTTTCAAAGAAAGCTTTGACTAAGGATCAAGAAGTAAAATGTGTATTCTGCATTGGTTTTGCATCATGCTTCAGGGTTCTTCGTGATCAAATATAGGGTTCTTTCAAAAGTGAAAGGTAATTGCAATAAATACAGTTACTTTCAATAAATATACATGATCTTGAGTAATTCCAAGTCTTAGTTAGGAATGAGGTAATAAGAAAACAGTTTTTAAAATGTTTTCTGTCTCAGTTTCTTACGGTGAGCAAATGTTCCATGTTATTTGTGTCAGTTCCATTTTTTCTAAGTGACTTTCCCTATGTAGAGAGTGTCCTGAGTTATAGATAAACTACACAGGAATGCAGAGAACCTGTGATTTCTCTATCTAGGATAATTGCAATGTAACTTAGTGAGGCCTAGTAGCTCACAAAGTTATCTGAAGTATTTCAGAAGGGACAGGAAGCATCCCTTGCACTTTTTTTAGCAGTAGTCACTGCCCACAGGTTGATACTGTAGATGATGAAACAACCCAAGTTGGCTTCTTTTATTTCTTCTCTGCCCTTTCTCCACTTCCTGTCAAGTTTTCCCTCCATCTCAGCCTATGTTGACTTGGTAATAATATGTCCACTTTCAGTTTCATGCAGTCTAAATGCTTTAGGTAGTCTGGTTATCTCACAAACCAAACAGACCAAAAAACAAAACAAGGCAAAACAAGACAAAAGAAACCTTGCCCTGTGGAATGGGAAAGCAGACCCTGGAGTTCAAGATAATCTGTAAAATGAAGTATTGCATAACTCAGAGCAGGGACTCAAAGAGGTGATTGAATGATGAAGTCTAAAGTGATTTCTCCAAACCAAAATCCCTGGAGAGAATGATTGGGAGGTCTCCCTCTGCTTTCTGGAAAGAGATTCCAGCCAATTACATCTGACTCTTAAAGGATATGAGTTGCATAGGGTTCTGATCAAATGCTTAAAGGTGTCAGTGACTTAATTTTTAATAATCCAGCTAAGTTTTAAATGACTCTAGATAATAGTAATAACACATAGCATTACATATGTATATATTATATATAAAATGCTTTTGTATATAGTATCTCATTTGATGGTCATATCAATCTTGTGTCCAAAGTAGGAAAGGTAGCTTTGTTAGGCCTTCTTACAAATAATGACTCTTAAGGAAATGTTCTTAAATGGGCCAGAAAGGACCAAGCTTGGACTAGAATGCATGTATTTTTTTTTTTAAGTCTTTTCACATTCTACCACATCACACTGGGACTCTCTAAGTCCTTAGCATTTCAGTTGTGTGAGGTGATGAAGGAAGAAGTTTTCATATACTGAGGTATGGGGAACACATTCTTGCTTACACGTGATTTAACTTAAACTTTATGCTAACCAGAACAGCCTGTTTTGTGGCCTATTAAACATACATTGTACATTTGCTTTAACCATTAAAGAAAAGGGTGCCTTGTCCAGAAGTAGTATGTCCATTTTTAAGATAGAGATGTCTTCCTCTTCCTGGGACGTCAATGGTCAATGCTAGTACTCCTTAGATGACAAAGCTCCCTTCCCAGGCACAAGGCCATACTGACTCGCTGTGTGCGTGATGCTGTCTTTTATGAAACCTTGAAAGAATGTACCTCTCTCGCGTTTGATATTCTTTGTTCCGACAAGATATAAAACTGTGCTGAAACCATGTTTCCTTGGAACAGTTCCTCAGAGCTACCCAAGAGGCTGTTTGTCAGGCTATACTTCTCAGTTTGGCTCAAAACTCTCTTCTATTCTTATTATAGATCAGCTATTGATGACTTCCCTCTACACAGTGAAATAAATACAATTCAATCTTAAATTTAGTAAAGCAGCAATTGAGGTTGAGAAAGAAATAAGGACCTTAAATGGTTGGGAAAGTCTAAGTGCAAAACCTGGGAGTTGGGGGATGTAGTTTCCACTAAAATTTAAACATATGAATACTTAGTTTGAGCCAGACTCTGCTAGGTGCAAAGTTAAAAAATGGTTAAGAACAGATCCTGCCTTCGAGGAACTTTCTGACTAGGGCAGCAGGTCACAATCTAGTGATCTGGACTTTGAAGAATTGATTAGGATTTACATGTGTGCTCAGAGGAAGGGTGGTTCAGATAATCAGGTCAAAAGAGAAGGCAAAAAGGCATATAAATGATGAACTTTTGAGAGTGAAGGAGACCCCAAAGTTTGTCAGTTTGATACGGAAAATTGCTCTATTATTTTGTTTCTTAAGTAAAATACTCACCATCAGCATGTATGAAACCAGGGGCAAAAGAGACTTTTTTCAGCCGTAATTCCTATGCACCACCCCCTCCATTTAAAAGTTCTCAATCTACCCCTTAGGGTCCACACTTGAATGCAAAAAAACTTTTAAAATGTAACCACTATACAGTGGTGATACACCGAACAGTGAGATAAATCCTAAGCTCGTTTGAAAGAAAACTGAACAGGGAGCCAGTGACTCGGGTTTGAGCTGTGCCTATGCTACGAACTGTTCTGTGATCTTGGGCAAGTAACTTCTCAGGATGCCCCTCTCGGTCTGTAAGATGAGTATGACCCAAAGGTCCACCTCACCGAGTTCTGTGAGGATGATTTTTAAAATGCCAGTGAAAGCATTTCCTCTACTCCATTTAGGGTGCTTTTGCTATCTCCGGGCTCCTTCCACTCACGCCACTTTGAGATTTGGTGCATCACGACCCAAAGGCCTTAAGCATCACCACAATTGCCTGACCGTCTCTCCTCATACACACCCACGTCCCTCGCGGTAACTGAGTCTGCCGAAGGAAGTCTCGTAGCTGAAGTCACACACTCCTAAAGGCCAGGAGAAAGGGACAGAAAGCTCCGATTCCAGCCGGAGAGATGTGAGAGACGCCAGCATAGCACAGTCAGGAAAAATCCTCTACGCGCAAGCGCAATGGCCACCCCGCACCTCGCCTCCCACGGGAGGGGGCGGGCCACGACGTGCCCACGTCGGACGCACTGCCGTTCGCGAAGCGTGCGTCGGCGGCGTAGGACCCGCCCCTTGGGGAGGGGAGGGGTTTCTGCCTGGCAGAGGTGGGAGCTCTTGCAGTCGTAGGGGAATAGGTTTCCTGTTCCGGTTCTCGGGCTCTGGTTAGTCACGTGGAAGTGCGATCACCTAGACAGTTTGCGCTTTCCGTTCACCAAAGCATCTTCTCTTTGGTGATACAGGTGCAGATTTCGGCCGGTGACTCTGCCATGCCGAACTTGCGGCCCAGGCCCCGCCGAGGCGCCGGAAGGGGCGCCAGGGCAGCCGGGCGGGACGAGCTGGTGTCGCGGTCCTTGCAGAGCGCAGAGCACTGCCTGGGCGCCCAGGACTTCGGCACCGCCTATGCCCACTACCTCCTCGTGCTCAGCCTGGCACCGGAGCTGAAAGACGATGTGAAGGTGAGGAGGGCCCTTGTTTCTCTCGCTTGCAGGCAGATCCTGTGTTCTTCTCGTATAAATAAATGAATACATAAATAAATTGGAGGGGGTTACTATAAGTGATTGGTGGTGGTTATTAATGTTTACTGTTCACCCTTGACTCTTCTTTTGTTCGTAACCACAACCAGCGTTATCAGAAAATATTGTCTGCTGCACCATCGAAATATATATCCAGAATCGTATCCCTTCTTACCACCTTCTTTTTTACTGCCCTGATTCAAGCTTCAGTCATCTCCTTCTGACTTTTGCAGTAGGCTCAGGCTCGAAACTAGGCTTCCTCCTGCAGCCTACCGCAACACAGCCAGTATGAGCTTTTCATAATAAAAGCCAGATGATGTCATTTCTCTATTTCAAAACTTCCATTTCATTCAAAATTCCGAAGGTTATATTGCATGAGGCCTCAGGTGATCTGCCACCTCCTATATCTAATTCTAGCAAGTCCCTGCCCCAGGCCCTTTGCACTTGTCTCTACTGTTACGTGGAACGAATGTTGAATTAAGTTTGGGATTAGCCTAAAGTAATCATTCGATGATGCATTCTTTAAGTTTCAGTTATTGGATCATTCGTGAGTTATTCTGTTGAAATGCTGTACATTTTTTTCCAAGTTATTTCAGAATCTACATTTCAAAAAGTGATTTAACTTAATTTTGCATTCAACTTTCAGCCTGAAGCTACTTTGCTTTATTTCACCCAGGGTTTCTCAACCTCAGTACTACTCATATTTTGGATGGAATCTGTTGTGGAAAGCTGTCTTGTGCATGGTAGAATGTTTAGCAGCATCCCTGACTTCTACCCAGTAGATGTCAGTAGCATATAGACATTTAAATTTCAGGATCAGCTGGCCTCAGGGAGGAGAACGTGTTATGCTGAGATACAGTTTGCTCTTTTAGGTAGGCAGAAGTAGAATAATGGATCAATCCAAGTGCTTTTTCCTCAATTCTTTGTTCGTTAGTTTCCTCTTTAGTAAAACAGGGAAAATGTCTTTTTTTATATTTAGTGTGTATTAAAAGTATTATCTAAAGTTTGTATTTCTTTGCCTGGTGTTCAGTAGGGTTAAGTAACTAGCTCTGTTTCCTGCAGAACAGAGTCCCATATTTCTTTGCAGGGTCCTCTGCGAAAGACCTATCTCTTTAGTCTTATTTCCTTCTACTCCCCATCCTTACACCTCAGCCATACCAAGTTGCTTAGCTGTAAATTCCCTGATCCATTTAATATAATCTGTGTTTTTTCCCCTCACATCCTAGAGTCTTCTTCCTTTCCTTGACTCTCTAGTAAAATTTATCAAAATTCAGTTTCAGATATACACTCTTCTATATAAAATATGTGAAGATGATATAAAATGTGTTCCTGACTACAGCCTTCTGTCTTTGCACTGGGTTGCAGTGTGGAGAATGTTTGTAATTAGAGCTAGGGTGACAGTGGGAAGACTCTTCCTGTAGTCCAGCAAGTGGTTACAAGGACCACGTTGTAACAGTGTGGGGGAGAGGAGGTGACAGATTTAACTATAATGAGAGAGAATTGGCTGGGTTTCAAATTAATTGTACTGGAGTTAAGGTGGCGTTCTAAGGTGACTTCTTAGTCTGAGGTTGGGCGGTACCTTAACCTTATATCCTGTGTGAGAGAATACGATGGGTTCAGTTTAGAACATTTTGAATTTTTTCAAAATTGTATGTTATATTTCTCTCTATGAGGCCTCTCTGAGGATAGGAACAGGATTTATATTATGTTGTTCTTTGGTATTCTTTGCACACCGATCAGGAAATATTTGGGTTGAGCTGAATCTGAGATGGCTGAGGGTCCCTGGTTGAGATGATCAATACGGAGTGGTAACTATGGGTCTGAGGTTCAGGAGAGAGGGTCTCAATTGGAGATGTAGATGTAGCATCCATTAACACATAGGTGATAGTTAATGCACTGGGGATGCATGAGAAAAGAGAAGCCGGTCAAGGAAGTACCGCTGAAACATAGGAGTCCACAAAAAAGAGGTTGGTGGAGAATATGATATGGCAGCCAAGTATGGACAGATTTTGCAGAGTGGTCAAAGTGTCTTAATTCTGCATGTTACTGCCATGTAGGTGGTAAAATTTACGCATTTATGTATTTATTTAGCAACAGGGCCTATTAAAGCTAAATTAAACTTATGGTGATTTTCAGTTATAACTAAATTTTATTTTCTGTGGAATCTTCAACCAGTGTTGAATATTCTTTCATCTTTTTTTTTTTTTTTTTTAATGGCCGCGCCATGCGGCTTGGGGGATCTTAGTTCTCCGACCAGGGACTGAACCATGCCCTCAGCAGTGAAAGCTCAGAGTCCTAACCACTAGACTGCCAGGGAATTCCCTCTTTCATCATTTATGTTACTGACTAATTTACTGTTTTCTCTTTTGTAAAGGAAACTTTTCAGTATACGCTCTTCAGATGGGCTGAAGAACTTGATGCACTCAGTCGAACACAAGACCTACTTGGTTGCTATGAGCAAGCCTTGGAACTGTTTCCTGATGATGAAGTGATTTGCAACAGTATGGGGGAGCATCTCTTCAGGTAGGTAGTGGTTTCAGTATTACTAGTTAAGGATTATTCTGCATCGGTCCAGATCGGATAAATTGTTGTACACTAATTCGAACGTGGGAAGTTTAATATAAACAATTATTAATTATAACAGGGGATCAGAGTAATGAAGGGTTGGCTAGTAAGAAGAGAACTGAAAAGAATATAGGAATAGCAGATATAATATGTAATAATATTATATGTTATACTAGATAATAGCCACTGCCCCTGGGGCTGAGATAGAGCATCTGTGGAAGAGTTCCTCTCACTGGGCTGAGATCCACACCTTGTTGGAGAGGACATAGCCCTCATTCACAGGATGGCAGAGAAGTCACTGTGGTCCCTTGCCAGGGAATTTGTTGTAAATCTGTTCTCTGGAACTTCCTGGAAATTTGCTGTTTCCTTTTGTAAGAGTGCCGTTCCCTGTTTGGGTTCCAGAATGTCTTTTTTGCTTAAACCATACCCAAAATGAATAGTCCGATTCAATCTTTAAAATTGGCAGAATGCTTAGAGGTGCTTGTGAAGAAGTATGAGTGTAAAAGGGTTCTGCTAGCTTAGTTCTCTTCAGTGTGTGGACCACACACTGGTGTGATCCACAGATTACCAGTCAATGACAGAGAAGTATAAAAATTGTGAGTAAACAGTTAGAAATGTATGTAGCAGTTTGACGTTGCTGTAAATCCAAGCATGTGGTCAGGGAACTCCCTTGTTGAAGAGAGCATGGACCACTCTGCTGCTGAAATCTGGTGTGGGAGTTGCACACTAACTAATCATGTGCAGTACAAGTATGTTGGTCTACAGATACTTAGATATTTTAAAAGGAAAGGGAGTTCTTTATCATAGATAGTTTAAGAAATACTGTTCTGGATGGTTGATAGTTTTCTCCCCCTGTCTTTTATTATTGATTTGCTCACGTCTAATTTAGTAGTAGTTTTTTGGGTGACTCACCTTTAACTTTTTTCCTTAGACACAATGCCTCTCTTTTTGCAGTCATATTTATTTTGTTTCTTTTGTATTTAATTAAAATATATAACAATAACAAGTGCGACTGGTGTAAACTGGTCTGGCAGCGAATACAACTGACTTTTTTTTTTTTTAATTTAGACTTATTTATTTATTTACTTATTTTTTACTGAAATATAGTTGACTTACAATATTATATTACTTTCGGGTATACAACATAGTGATTCTGCATTTTTATAGAATATGCTCAACATAAAGTTAATATAAAATATTAATTAACTATATTCCCTGTGCTGTGCATTACATTGTTGTGTCTTAATTATTTTATTATTTTTTTAAATAGATCTTTATTGGAGTATAATTGCTTCACAGTACTGTGTTAGTTTCTGTTGTACATCAAAGTGAATCAGCCATATGCATACAGATGTCCCCATATCCCCTCCCTCTTGCGTCTCCCTCCCACCCTCCCTATCCCACCCCTCTAGGTGGTCACAAAGCACCGAGCTGATCTCCCTGTGCTATGCTGCTGCTTCCCACTAGCTATCTATTTTACATTCGGTAGTGTATATATGTCGATGCTACTCTCTCACTTCGCCCCAGCTTACCCTTCCCCTCCCCGTGTCCTCAAGTCCATTCTCTACGTCTGCATCTTTATTCCTGCCCTACAACTGACTCTTGATGACCATTCAACTCAATTGCTGAGGGAAAAGGTACGCAGGTACAGCAAAGAGGCACCTCTTAGCCATAGGCGTTAATATCTTTTACAGAGGGAGTGGTTTTTAGAAACCACTGGTGTTCTAGAAAGTTGTTTAAATGGAGGATGGCTAAGAGAGCCTCTACTATACCATAGTAAAGTAGTAATTCATAGTCAGTCAGTTGTTAGTGTCCTGCAATGCATAAATATAAAAGGGATTCAGAAA